GGGCTCTTTAGCCTGGAGAGGACAAGACTGAGAGGGGACCTTACAACACATAAATATCTAAAGGGTAAGTGACAAGAGGATGGGGCCAGGCTCTTTTCAGTGGTGCCCAGTGACAGGACAAGGGGCAACGGGCACAAACTGGGGCACAGGAAGTTTTGCCTCAAGATGAGGAAAAACTTCTGTACATTAAGGGTGACGGAGCACTGGAATAGGCTGCCCAGGGGGGTTGTGGAGTCTCCTTCTCTGGAGGTATTCAAAACCTGCCTGGACGTGATCCTGTGTGACCTGCTCTAGGGTAACCTGCTTTAGCAGGGGGGTTGGACTTGATGATCTCCAGAGGTCCCTTCCAACCCCTGCCATTCTGTGATTCAGTCTGAAAAGACTGTAACCTTTATGTGATAAGTTTATGCATCTTCCTTCTAATTCCTCTGCTTTTCTGGTTAGCACTGAAGGAAAAGAGTTTATTCTCATGAGGAAGTAATTTCCTCTGAATTGAGTTGGGTTTTTTCCCTCTGTGTTAAGAGTCAATCTTTTCAAGTGCCAGGCCTCTAAATAAAAGACTTTTCTTAATGAAACAATCAATCTTGGTAAGCTAGGATCTGTCTTCCAAACAAAATTGAAGTCTCCCTTTTTAGGTCTGGAATGTAAGCGGTTAAATTTCGGTGTCTGGAATGCTTGAGATTTACAAGCTAGCTTTACTTGGCCAGGTATCATGAAGTTACTTACAGAGCTCAAGTTTTAACACTTGGTACTTTTAATACTAGATGATTGATTGGGGTTTTCTGCCTTTTTTTTTTTAAATAAATTTTGCAGTTGTATTTTATGTAAGACTATGAATTTAAATGTATGGTCTTAAAAAACTTTTTTAGAAATTTTGCTGTGTGAATTTCATTAAAGTTAGTATAAATTCATGTTAAAAACCTCATGCAACTCCTTGAATATTTTCCTATCTGAGTCTCTGCTTTAAAGACAGTCCTAATCTTCATTCTACTAACAGCACAGGGAAGTTACCTTTTTTTTTCTGCTAATAGATTCACCTTCTTCCCTGTTTTAAGTAAACATGTGATTTTAATAACTTACCTTTGAAAACTTATCCAGTGATGTAAACAGTTGAACTTCTTTTTTTTTTTTTGTTATTAAGTGTTATTAAAAAAAAGTATAATATTGGTTCTAAGTATGGATCTCGACTATGATGATGACTATTTCCCTGATATGGGGAAAATCTTCTAACCTGTCACTTTCATTTTCTTCATATGTTAGATGTTATGAAATTACTATGTTTTTTAAAAAGTTAGTATTGAGGAGTCAGATTGCATAAGCTTATGAAATGTTTAGACTACTCAGATACTGGTCATTCAGTGCAGTGAAATACTATTGTTCTTACTTTATTGATTTAATGTTAACTTACATTTTGCTTCATTTCATTCAAAAACAGTATACATCTTTTCTTCAAAAAGTAGTTTAAAACACAGACAAGTTTATTTTCATAATTACTCCATTGATTAATCATTTAGTCAGCTGATTGTTACTGATGCTATGCACAGTGGTGTTTTAAAGTACTTGCAACAGAACTGAAAGTGAGACCATATTGTATCATATCATGTCTTTTAAAGGTCATGGAAATTGCCCTTTTGTCATGTTTTATTGTGTTATGGAATATGTTTACACCATTTTGCATACCTTTAATGACATACAAGTTATTACGGATAAACTGTGAGGCAAATGTGTAGTTATCCGCCTAACATGGAAAAAGCATTTTGTGTAGTTGTTCAGAGAGGTTGAACTACACTCTAAATGGCTGTTTTAAAAAAAAAAAAACTTTTATGTGGAATCATAGACTCATTTGTGTTGGAAGGGTGCTGCAGGTCTCTTGTCCAATCTCCTGCTTAAAGTAGGGCCTACACTCATTTTAGACTAATTTGCTTAGGGTTTTGTCCAGTCAGGTCTTGAAAACCTTGGGAATGGAGATTCTGCAGTCTTCTATGAGCTTCTGCAGATGAGATTACCTCATTTCTGTGCCACAGAGTATTTATCAGCACTAACACAAAAGATAAGTAAGTAGGACCTTGTTAATCAAATTTAAATAGCCTGCGTAATGGAGTAGTTTTAGGAAATGTGAATGGTTATTGAAGGTGGCTAAATCGAATGGCTATTTAAACCACAGAAGCTTGTATTTCAGTTTTAAACCACACTCTCTTAACACTTAGTAGTATCTGTGGTAAACAAAGAAAAAAGCTAGATGGAAGCAAATGCATCTGAAAGAAAACCAAATCAATTACAATTGAGAGTGGCTTTTATAGCCCACTTTGTTTGGATTTTCTTGAAACTTTAGTATTATAAAGGTTAGTAACGAGCCATACCCAGACAGGTATATCTGTTTCTTTTCATACAACACGTTTTCCTCCCATGTGGTGTGTTGCATGATTGGTGTTAAGATTGGATTGTGATATAATTGATATAAAAGGCTTTTGTGAGCATTTCCGACGTCTGTTTGAATAATACCTGTTAAAATATAATAGATTATTTTTTTATCCTTATCTTTTCATACTTTGCTACTGTAGATCATCACTATAAAATTTCTGATTATTATTCTGTTTTTAGCAGTAAACTGATGTTTTGAGTCAGCTGAAATGTATTTTATTTCAGAAGAGATTTTCTAAGTTAAAGATACACTGAAAATTGCTCAACGAGGATGATCTGATCTTCCTTTTCCATTATGTACTGGAATAGAAAAACCCAGGATATGTTCTAACCTTTAAGTCTGTTTGACTATTAAAATGCCAGAAGAAATTAATGAGAAAACATTAAAAAAAAAGGCAAAATACCCATTTTTTCTCAAATATAGCCCCTCCTCTGCTAAGTCAGTGTAAGGAAGGTACTGCAACATGTAAGGCCATATGACTGTGGTACTGAAGGATTGTATCATTTGCAGTCAGGTGTCTTTTTCTGAGCCATTCACTCATAGGATGCATTTCAGATATGACAACTGTCAAATGTAAAGCAGCCTTGGCTTACCTGACAGTGGAGGTGATGTAGTGATCCATTAGATAAAACCTATAGCAGTAAGGGCTAATTACTGTGGGGGTTCAGGACTTGCTTGACTGTGTTCCTGTATTTTTGAATTACATACTCAAAAGCTCTTTAGAGGAGCTTGTCCATATCTGGATTTGATTTTAAGCATTTTTTGGCATATATATTCATATATTAATGTGCATATTCACATTTTAATTCAAACTTCAGTAAAGCTTTTAAGCACAATGAGGTTTTATTCTTTTAATTTTTATTTCAAAGCTTCAACTAACCTAGTCTAAATCTAGAAATTTTTGCTAGTATGTTAATGTTGACCATGAGTGTGAACTTTGTTTCAGTGTTTGTATATTCACAGAAAATAGCGCAGTTACCAGCAAAAAAGTTTCTTTGATAGCATAGTCTATTGTGTTCAGTGAAGAAACAGATGAACTAGCAAAAGCATAGTGAATGTTTACTGATACAGCTGTATTGGCAAATTTTTCTGCATAGACCTGTTTATATCTACATTTTGATGTTTGATATTAGCAAGTCAAAAATAAGAAATTATTTCCAAATTTCAGTATTTGTTAAACAAGTGTTTTTTTAAAAAAGGAAATATTTGTTAGAGAGAATTGTTGCCAATTTCTGTGAGTGCTGTTATAAAGAAAGCGTCTCATGCAGGAAAAGCGGTTGACTCTAGACACTTGTAATGAAAAGTGGAGCATTCAAGACCTTTAGTAGTTAACTTCACCCTATCCCAGTCATATAGCAGCTGTTTTAGCTAATTTTTTGGTATCTTTATCTACGTGCAATTATCACAATACCGAGAAAACTTGTAGGCAAACTGAACAGAATGAAACGGTGTAATGCATTAGTCGTGTA